AAAAAAAAAAAAAAAAAAAAAAAAAAAAACTCTTAATACTATTGTAACATAATAAATTTTTCTCCCTTTAATATTAACATTGGCAGTTTTGGAAGCCACTTGCTGGATTTAAAAAACAAAGAATTATGGAGATTGAAATGTGAACATCTTAATGCTGATACAGAAAAGATTGGAGAAAACAAGCATAAGCTTAGTTCGCAGCACAAGTGGTCTGCTTTGAAAGATCTAGAGAAGAAAGATACATTGATTTTTTACACATGGAATAGCATTCATGAATCATATAGTAATCAGTTGGGAAAAAAACAGCGTTTGCTGTTCTTTCCTTATTCAGGTCTACATATTCGTGTGAATAGTAATTATTTTTAAGCATAAACCTTATTTAGAGTAAATTTCTTATTCATGAGAACTTATAATAATGCTTAAAAGTAAAAACAGCAGCATACAAACCTGAGTTACAGTAACTTTCCAAGGAGATACAAGGCCATTGTTCACATTAGTGTTTGTTCATCATTATCATAATTTATGGTTTTGGATATCTTATATATTTATTTCAACAAATAGCATCATTATTAAGAGTAATATCAAGTTTTATTCGACATACCTATCTAGTTTAACTAAGACTTAAAAACTAAAGTAAGCTAATTTTAGGCAGTGTTGTGGAGTGAAAAAAGATGTAGTGTTGAGAATTCAGAGAGTTATATTGAGATTGTTTGGACATATACAGAGAATAAACAAAAGAAGATACACGAAATAAAAATACAAGACAAGTGTAGATGGGAAAAGTTGGAAGAGGGTCGACCTCAACAAACGTATGTTGTTCAGATTTAGGACGTTCTTAGTAAAAGCCAGTATAAGAGTACCCTAATTAAACGAATAATAATCAACTTACCTATATAATTTAAGTTTTAAAAAGGTTTCTCTCAGAAGAGATTTCAATCGTTGAACATATATTAACATGTATCTTAAATCCATGTTCAGTTCAAAAGTAATATACATAGGGTATCTAGTGGTCTTTAAAAAATATTCCAGCTTAAAATGCATATATATATGCATCACCCATTTCCTACGAGCATTCCCCAGCGATGCATGGGTGGAACGCTCAGCTCTGAGAAATGTTAATAGAGAATTCATATGCGAGACAACCATCTGGAAAGGGTTAAATGATAAATTTGAACTGTTTAATGAAAACATTAAACACTATACATTTCTGTTGTGCTCCTCATGTATAGAGTGATCTGTTTTTGGTTTAAAAAAAATCAGAAAATTGCACAAACTCGGCACTTATGCACCAATGAGTATGGGTTATTAGATTTAAATCATTACCCAGCATCAAAATACTAATTTGGCATGGTCCTCATCTAAACTGTCAATTTTGTATTTTTATCATTTCATCCTTCGTCCTCCGCCTCAAAGAGAAATAACTTCACCTTTTTATTTTTTGAACATTTATTGCTCAAACACAAAACTAATACTAAAACAATCTAATAACTAAAATACATATGTATATATATTAAGTAATACAAGTTAATTTCGTTTTTATTAATGGCTCCCACGAGCCTTCCCTATGACCTCTCTGTCGGTCTCCCTCTTGGAAACTAAACTTTTGACGCTCCTCGGATTGAGAGCCAGCACCCTCTATACATCTCGTTGGTTGGCGTCACCCATACATCACAATCGTACTTCTAAGTTTTCAAAACTCTTTCAAGTTTGGAAAAAATTCCAGTCTTAACTTTGTATTCAAATGTTAGTTAAAAAAAAAAAAAAATGATAGGCCTACTGATTTAAGAATTAATTCCTAACAATTCAAGATACAGAATACAAAATCATATATTTAAAGTGGGTTTTTCAACATGACCCTGACAAATGGTAGAGAAAATCATCATATCATATTATTCAACCATAAAGTAACATGCATGAAGATTAACACTTTTTAGTCCAAAGAGGCAATTTGCCTTGAAAGACTATTATTTTCGTTTTGGCATTTTGCGTTGAAAACTTTTCAAAAACAACAGTACCTAGAGCCATCCAATTTTGAATGATGTAATCCTACAGTGAATATGGGCATCTGGAAGACGAAATTTAAAATTTAGATTTTGTTTTATCATCTATTTCATATTTTGTAACACTTTTAACGAATTTTTGATTAACAAACTCAAGGATTTCAAAGCGAGCAAAGGCAACGTTATTCCGGAAAAAAAAAATTTATCTCCAGCGCACGAGACTGTGTATTGGAAATTCTAAAGATATGCTCAATTTAAAATTATTTTGCAATATTGCAATTGAATTGAATTTTATGGTTTAAGTGCGAAGAACATGATATTTAATAAATAAAGGTAACACGCAAAATGTTAAAAAAAAAAGCACCTTTGGACGTAATTTAAGATCTGAAACCTTTCAGATTTTCTTTTTATTTTTTTTAATGAATTTCTCCTTTTTTTTAAATTGGATTACTCATACCCAAGACTTGCAACAAATATTTCCTGCAGATGAAATTATAGCATTTTTAAAATTAATCAAATGTAGCATGCATTTGTTCCTTGGATGGCAATTTCTATTTCAACACATAGCTTGCAGGGCTGCTGCTGGACATTTTACCATTTAGTGCAATTTCTATGAGCTGTAAATTCTGCTGGATTAAGAAGTGCCTTCTCTATATTCTAAACTATTTTCCCATCCATAAATTGTTCCACTCCTACATTCTGTCGCTTGGTGTGACTGCACTGGCTGTGGCACCTACCTTGCATAACTGTGCCTTTTTTTTTTTTTTTTTTAAATATACTAGAAGGCATGCAAAAGAATATCCCACAAATGATGAGGTGACAATTTCTTTTTTTCTAGGCTGTGAAATTATCTCGGCAAAAGTCAAATTCATAATAACTTGACTTAATAGTAATAATACGAGGGCCATCCAGGAAGTAGATTACGTTTCCGTCTGTGTCCGCTAGGGGCGGGGCTAGCACGGCCATCTTGGGGTCAGAGCGTTGCGCAGCTCCAGTCATGCATCTAGCCGTGTGCTAGTGAGAGGTTCGTGCTGTGCTCCGTTCAGATACTGTGACGGTTTGAAATGTCTGCGTTAATTGAAAATCCCGCGAGCTGCGAGGTGCGCTCAGTAATAAGGTTTCTGACTGCAAAAAACTGTAAACCGATAGAAAATCTATCGGCAGCTTCGTGAAGTGTATGGGGACAACATTATCACTGAAGGTGGAGTGCGTCAGTGGGTCATAAGATTTCAAAATGGCCGAACCAATGTTCACGACGAAGATCGAAGTGGGAGACCCAGCATAGTGACCGCCGAACTTCTCGAAAAAGTCGATGCTAAAGTCCGTGAAAATCGAAATTCACAATAAACAATAACGGAACTTTCTTTGAGTTTTCCACAAATTTCGCGAAGTTTGTTGCACGAAATCATCAGCGAAAAGCTTGGTTACACAAAGTTTTGTGCAAGATGGATTCCAAAAATCTTGACAGAGGACCACAAAAATCAGCGAATGGCTGCAGCGTTGAACTTTTTGGACGCTTACCATAAGGATGGTGACTCTTTACTCGATCGCCATCGTTACTGGTGACGAAACATGGGTGAAACATGTGAACTGTGAAACGAAATTGCAATCAATGCAGTGGGGGGGGCACACAAGTTCTCCCCAAAAACCCAAGAAATGCATGCAAACAATGTCGGCAAGGAAGATGATGGCGACTGTTTTTTGGGACAGAAAAGGTGTAATTTTGGGTGGACTTCCTGGAAAGAGGCACTACAATAAACTCTCAAAGGTATTGCCAAACTCTCCAAAAACTCAGAAGAGCAATTCAAAACAAGCGCAGAGGAATGTTGAGCTCTAAGATCTGTTGATTCACGACAACGCCCGGCCCCACACGGCAAATGTCACTTGTAAAGTTCTTGAATCTTTTAAGTGGGAGTTGTTTCCTCATCCGCCGTACAGTCCCGACCTGCCAGCACCGAGCGACTTCCACCTATTCCCAGCAATGAAGAAGTGGCTGGCTATGCAGCGTTTTGATGACGACGCACAGCTGCAAGAAGAGGTAACGAAGTGGTTGAAGGCGCAGGCGGCCGAATTTTTCGACGAAGGAATTTCCAAGCTCGTACATCGCTACGATAAATGCCTTAATTTGTATGGTGACTATGTAGAAAAGTAGTATTTGAGTGTGGCTTTCATCTGTATATAATAAAATTTGTTTCCTATACTTTGTTTATTTTTTTATTCCAAAACATAATCTACTTTCTGGATAGCCCTCGTAATAATTACTATTTCTGGTGATTAAAGATTGAGTGATAATATAATTTTTTATCTAGAAATTATATGAAATCTTGTTCTTGAATTTTGCTGCTTTAAATCTTTTCCAGATTTGTTCTTCCTTGCAACAAAATTATATTTTCTGGCATATTATAAAAAGAATTCCACACATTTTTTAAAATTCAACATTTTAATTGATATTTCGAAAATTGTTTGCTTCTATGCAGTCGCTCTCACGGAGCACAATAGCACACACTTACTCACACATTCCCTCCTAGAGCAGTGGTTGGCAAACTCATCAGTCAATACAGCCAATTATCAGCAGTTGAATGACTGAAATCTCTGTTGACAGCAACATTTTTAAAATGTAAATTATATAGGTAGGTTAATTATTATTAATTTAATTAAGGTACTCTTCAGCTGGCTTTTACTGAGAACATCTAAATCTGAAAAACATACATTTGTTGAGGTTGACCTTCTTCCAACTATCCTATCTACACTTGTCTTGTATTTTTATCTTGTGTATTCTTTTGTTTATTCTCTCTATATGTCCAAAGAATCTTAATATAACTTTTTGAATTCTCAACATGACATCTTTCTTCACTCCACAACACTGCCTAAAATTAACTTAATACTTCAATTTTTAAGTCTTAGTTAAACTATATAGGTACGTCTAATAAAACTTGATATTACACTTCATAATGATGCTATTTGTTGATAAAATAAAAATGAATGGTATTAAAATCTTACATCATGATAATGACGAACACTAACGTGAAAATTATCCTCGCATCTCCTTGGAAAGTTTGTGTAACTCAGGTTTCTTTTGTTGTTTTTCAGCTTCAGTTCACATTCTGCCTATCTTTGGTATTTCATTCTTCAGCTGTTGCTGGGGAAGAGAGAAAGTGTAATGTAAAGAGAGTTTGGCTCTTTAACTCTCCATGTGATATAAACATTCATGTTTATGATATATCTTCAAATTCTTTTTAGCTGAAAGGGGCAATTTGCCCAGAAGGGCTAATATTTTTGTTTTGACAATTTGCATTGATTCACTATAAACGACAAATTACTTTTTAAATTGTTGCCACCAAATATTAGAGCCCTGTATTATATTTAAAGAAACTAAATAATGAAGTATCTGCATAAATGTATGTACGTTTCTTACACTGTGATAAAACAACAGTATCTTGAGCCAACAAGTTTTGAATAATGAACATCTCTACCCAAAAATGGACACCTGGAAGCCCAGATTTAGAATCTGGAATCCGTTAAGCATTTATGAGTTTTTTACTAAGAAGCTCAATCATTTCAAAGCAAACAATGGCAACACTGTATGGAAAAAAAAACATTTTTATCTCCAGCACGCAAGATTCCGTATCAGAAATTCTAAATATAAGCTCTTTTAAATATTTTGCAATATTGCTGTTGAACTGAATTTTATGGTTTAAATGAGAAGAACATGATATTTAATAAATAAAGGTAACACACAAAATGTTAAAAAAAAGTCTGGGCATAATATAAAATTTGAAAGCTTTCAGATTTCTTTTTTTATTTTATTTTATTTTCTATCCTCTATTAAATAGGGTCTTTTAGGCTGTGTTCAGACGGTGGTGTAAAGGGCATAGAGGCGTAGTCATAAGGGCATAAAATACGGGAATTCCGTTCACACTTGCGAGAATGGCATGTAAGCCATGGCCAATGAGAGAAGCTAAATTTGCGCATGCGTGGATGTGTCTACAACTTTCCCGCGCTGTTCTCCTGCTCGAATGATTTCCCGCGTTCGCTCTGCTTGTTTTGTGACAACGAAATCTTCTGTATAACGCCGCTTCGTTTCAGCTTCGCTCTGATTGGTCGACGCTTATCCCAAACTCGACATAAAGTTGAAAGCTTTGAACCCTATGCCATGAGCCCTAAACCAGACGTTGCACAGATTGGTTGCCTTGGCAACACAGCTCGGCTTTAACCACTTATGCCCTTTAAGCCCCCGTCTGGACGAAGCTTTAGGGTTTACTATGTGGGGCTCTGTTACACTCTGTATTGCTTTCAGATATATTTCACATATTTCCCTTTTTACTTAGGAATTGACTCTAGTTTATCACGGCGAGAAGACGTTATTTTATCACATGAAGAATATATTCACATCACTTTAGTATAAATTTTGTGGATAATGAGTCTGGCTGTCATATAAATACGATAGAGATTACGTGACAGCATGTTAAAGCTAAATTGCCTACTTATAATCGGAAATGCCATTTTGTGTTTTATTTTGCAGTTTATACATTTTTCCATCATTGTTCTGAAACGGGAGAAGATGTTTTTAACAAATTTGTAGTGAAATTGTTTTGGTGATGTTTGAAATCAGTATTTCTGCTGTTCAAAGAAGCACTCATTCATGATAAGTGCATTTTATTTTTATTCTTGGGTAAAAGTATATTTTAGGGTACCCCTTGGCGAAACTTGGCGATTTTTGGCGGTACATGGATACCGAGTTTGTACAATTCTTTGACTTATTTTGGCCTGCGTAGCGGTGATTTTTGGCACAAAAATTGCCGCTGCTCAACCCAAAAGAACAAGTCAATAAATTGCACAAACTCGGTATCCATGTACACATCGACCTATTTTTAAAAAAATCCCTGAATTGCATAAAAATGGCATTGTGCACTCCCTTTACTTTATCCATGTACACATCAACCTATTTTCATTTAAAAAACATCAGAGAATTGTACAAACTATGCTTCACGCACTCCCTTGAGTTTGTCCATGTACATATTGATATATTTACACTTAAAAAGTCAAAGGAACACCCAATTCTACAGCAGAGGCCAACAAAAAATACATAATCTCAATAAACTACATTTTAAACCAAACAATAAAATAACACAAAAAAGGAAAAACCTGTTATGTATTTTAGCACTAAACAAAGCAAATATCTCCTTACCTTATTTAGAAATTCGTTCGTCTTCAGTCTGTAGCACACAAAATTCCTTCACAGCATCCAAAAACTTCCTAAAATTATCTGAACTACATTCCGTATAGTGTTGCCACAGAAATTCACAAAAATAAGAGTCAAAAATATACTACGTAGTTCTGAACTATGGCTACTAAGTAAACCTTCATTTACACACCAGTCAATTAATGCACTTTTCCCCTTTTGTTCCAAATCGTACAGAAACATCAAATTAATCCTACTACATTCAGCCATTGTACCGTCTAAGCAATGAAGCAAGCAATGTACTTCCTAAGCAACACACACCATGAAAGCCCTTGCAAAACATCCCACGATTCAAAATTTCTCAGAATAAGGCAAACAGTTACGTAATTATAGGGTTTCTATAACATTCAGCTACTCAAGTTACCATTAATGATACAACAACTTGGCAATAAACGAAACAACTTGGCGATAAATGAAACAACAACTTTGCGATAATACAAGGGCTACATTAAAGTCAACTCTAACCTTATTCTTGTTTTTATTTTGTAGAATGTTATGTACATTGTTTTTTTAGTATGAATTTCTGTCGTTATTGTTGTTTTTTTTTTAATTGTTTGAAATTTATTTTAGTTTATTTTGTTGATTAGTGCACAATGGCTAGATTGTGCAATTCGTAGATCTTTTTTTAAATCTAAACAGAATGCTGTGTACATAATATTCTTGAAATTTATTCTTAAAGCAAGGTGTGCGTAGTTCGTAGATTTCTTTGCTGCCTAGATTGTGCAATTCGTAGATATTTTTTTTTAGATTTAAACAGAATGCTGTGTACATGGTATTCTTTGAAATTTATTGTTGTTATGTTAATTTAATTAAGCTAAATGTGTGTAGTTCACAGATTCTTTCGCTGCATAGATTGTGCAATTCCGTGATGTTTTCTGAAGTTAAAACATATAGCTGTGTACATGGATTTTTGTCAAATATTTTTATTAGAAACTTTACGTTTTTTCTATCTAAATTTTTTGTTTCAGATTTTTAGCTTAAATTGTGTCTTCAAAACATGTTTTTGGAGGCATTTTAGGCTTAAATTTTGAAATGTAGACAAAAAATTTACATAGTAATATGGCATCGTGGAGTTTCTCGTCAAAAATATTTGGTGAGAAATTTGTCAAGTGACGGCGGTAAAACATTATGGTGACAATAAAACAGGTGATAAAGTAGAATAAATTTCAGAGTCAGATATTTGCATTAGTGTGAATTCAACATTTAATTCAGCTATCAGAGATAACCCACAAATTCACACATTTGAGAAACATTTGATGGGTAAGAGCTAAGATTTCAGTTGGTTAAAAAAAACAAAAAAAGCCTCATAAAATTGTTACACTGCATTAGTTTTAATGAAGTGTACAGTTTCCTGGCTCTGTTTTCTTAGAATAAAATCTATATGTTCTTTATACCTAGTGAATGTATAAAAAACTAGCGAACTAGCGAATTTAAACTGACTTTATAGATAAAATACAACTAATTATTCTTTAAAAATAAAAGATAAAAAACCAAATTATAGCTTAAATTTTTTTGCGACTGCATTGTATATGAGCTCTTCATATTTTCAGAAAGTTTTTATTCTTTTGATTTTTTTGCTGAATTGATTTGCCGAACTGATTTTTTTGCAAGTGTATTCAGCTTCTTCAAATTAATCAATAATGGCATCAGAAAAATATGAAAATAACAAGGCTTCTTTTTTTTTTAAGATAATACAAAAAATTCTACATTTGAAGTAAATGATCAAGACTTACTTCACTTATTAGAATCAGTTTCTATGATAATAAAATGACTTACTCAAGCGATTAAAATCAGAAGATTAAAAAAAAATAGCTTTAGCTTCAAAATACGGTATGTACTTAGGAATTTTATAATACTCTAACACTCCGATATAAACACAAGTTAACACTATAATCTTAATTTTATACGCATATTGTTTACATTACACAAAGACCACTAAACTTAAATTTTTAATGAAAGTGAAAGTGCATCATAAAATTTTCAGGAGCATGCATTAGCCAACAATGCATTAGAATTTTAGACACCGTCCTAAAGATATCAAAGAATTAAATTTAGAAATTAGAGAAAATCCCAGTTTAAATCCGTTGTAAGACAAAGAAGTTAAATTATATGGAACTTCTTTACAAAAGAAAAAATAAATTAGGTCTAATTTCACATCATATAAATATTAAAAATGAATGCCGTTTCTCGAATAACGGTAATAAGTAACATATATATCCATTTGGGTATCCAACATACACTCAGATAACAAAAAAATAGGTAAATTCGAAGGAAACATCACCCCTTCCCAAAAAAAGTGTCTACTTGTTTGACGTCGGACGGTTAGCGTATTTCCAAACCCTAAGGTTTCTTTAAAGGGTTCCTTACCAGCTCTACCAAATTCTAGCATTTCGGATGCTGGAAAGCGAAGAAGAAAGACGTATTTTCTGCTCTCTCCTAGCATTAGTACTGCACCCACTCCCTCACCATACAGCCAGCGCGGTAGCGCCGGTCAACGACCTCAGCGACCACAACCATCGCCGCGTTTCGCTTATCTCACTGCTGCCTTTCTCCTATAAGGATTTTATACGTTGTTAAAGTTACCCCCAAGCTTCATTTTAGACTAATGTCAGGAACCTTAGGCATCTCCAGCTACTGCATCTGTCTCGGGGTTCTCTCGGCTGAGAGTTAACCTCACCCAGGGCAGTGGTCAACGATTAATTTCTAATATCTCGTCCACTGATAGACATTAAGCTTTGTTCGAAATACCGAAATGAACATGGACAATACACAAGGAAACGGATCGATGATGACTAAGGGGTCTAGTCTGGACACCGGTCGAGATCGATATCGGAA